CTTTGACCTCGTTTTTTCATAACATTAATGAGAAAATAAGTGCTGGCTGAGGTCACCGTCTGTGTGGGTTTTCTCCAGATATGCTGCTTTCCTCTCACGTCCCAAAGAGATGTACCTATTAGGTTACCTAGTGTGTCTATATGGTCCCTGTGTTTGTGTGTGCATGCACGCACACCTTATGGGATATATGGCGTCCTGTCCAGGGCTGGCTCCGGCCTTGTGCTCTAAGCTGCCGGCATAGGCTCTAGCCACCTGTGAGCCTGAGCTGGAAAATGCATGAATGACTACAAATTACCATCAATAAAAATCTGCAAAGTCTCTGGTAAACATCCAAATGCACAACAATAACTGATGTGGCACAAAAGCTCTCAGTGAGCCTGCCCTATGGGTGGTTGTTTTGGAACTGAGCATGGTGGTAGGAGATGCTTCTGACAATTTTCACTTTGCGCACATTTATTCCTTGATTTAACCCACCACCACTATGACTGCAGCAACTTACTGACTCACCAAAAAGTGGGTGAATATCTTACTTGTTTCAGTATTTCATAGTAGAAATGTTTTGGTCTTTATTTAGAAGTTGGGTATGATTTTGTGACCAGAAAAATGGCATAGAAACTATATGGTAAAACTGGTTTTGTCATATGGTGTTTTAAGAATACTGATGATGTTGACAACTTACGTAAAGACAGGAAAAGAGGAAAATAATTGAGTGGTTGCCTCTAAAAAATGGGACTGCGAGATAGGAAGGGCAGAGAAATGGTTTTTGTTTTGTTTTGGTTTTTTGAGACGGAGTCTCACTCTGCTACCCAGGCTGGAGTGCAATGGCGCGATCTCGGCTCACTGTAACCTCCAGCTCCCTTGTTCAAGAGATTCTCCTCCCTCAGCCTCCCAAACAGCTGGGATTACAGGTACGTGCCACCATACCCAGCTAATTTTTGTATCTTTAGTAGAGATAGGGTTTCACCATGTCAGCCAGGCTGGTCTCAAACTCCTGACCTCAGGCAATCCACCTGCCTCAGCCTCCCAAAGTGCTGGGATTACTGGTGTGAGCTATCACACCTGGCCTGAGAAACTTTTCACTGTAGCTGCAGCCTCGGCTTCCTGGGCTTAAGTGATCCTCCCACCTCAGCCTCAAGGGCAGCTAGGATCACAGGTGCGCCACCAAGCCCAGCTAATTTTGTGATTTTCTGTAGAGAAGAGGTCTTGCTGTGTTGCCCAGGTGATCTCAAACTCCTGGGCTCAAAAGATCCTCCCACCTAGGCCTTCCAAAGTGCTAGGATTAAGGTGTGAGCCATGTGCCCCACCCCATTTAGGAAATCTTAAGGTATATTCCAACACCACTCAAGGAAGTAACTTCCAAATATAAACATTAGCTCTGTGGCATAAAGTTAAATTCTGGGGACAAGAGAAGAATCCAGTTTCTTAGTGTCAATACTAAATGTATTCAAGATAAATCTGAAATAAATCCACAAATCAGGGCTGAAAGAGAAGTACTTAAGTATCAGTGGAAAATCTTCGTAGACTAGAAACTTAGAGTTGCAAAGATCTTTTAAATGACAAAAAACTGAAGCCCATATTATTTGTTCAAGTTCACAGGGCTGAACTGGGACTAGTCTACACCTCCTGGCTCCCGATGACTGCACTTTCCAGGACACCTCCTGAGAGTTCCTGCTAATTACCTCCTTTAATCTCTCTAAAACTATAAAACAATGAAGTACTTCCTGCTCTTCGAGGAAACGGGATCACTGGTTAATCTGCAACTAGCAAATCACAGTTTGAGAAGGTGTAACTTAACTTTATGCCACTAATTAATCTTACATTTGTGATAAACACAAGTTCCTTTATTAGTCAGTCCTTGTTTATACCTGTGAAACACAAAGGCAGCCTTTTTCTTCCTGCACAGACTGGGAAATAGCTTTAAAAAGAAACTATCAAGTTCTTCTTTATATGGTTATTTTGGGGGCACATATTATGATATATTAAAATCAATGTAAATAAGCCATGTTTGAACAGAGCTGTACTCTGCAACAATGACGGAATCACTAATAGAATTTTCTTTCTTGTTCTCAGAAAACAGTTTAGAGGAGTTCCCAACAAATGGACTGTGACATTGGCACAGAAATGAACTGACTAAAAAAGGACCAGCTGAATGCGGAAGTGGGAGGAGGCAACATAGAGATAAAAAAAAAAAGAGTTTTTTGCAGTGGCAGTATGGAAGCCAACGAGGTTAATCTGAGGGGTGATTATTGCTCTTTGAAAATTGAAGGAAAAAAAAAAAAGACATGAAATTGCATAAATTCTTTATACTGAGAACAACTCTATTTTAAATCACCAAGTGCCTAAACTCACAGGAGAAACATTAAGGAAGTGGTAACTTATGTACCCACACTGGCTAAAGCTGTACTGTCAAACCAAACAAAAACTTTGAATTCTTTAAATTTCTCTACAAAATTTCAACAAGACAAACCTAAAAGTTCCTTCTCCAGGGGAAAGGGACCAGCGTTTTTATTCTTAGTCACTAAGTGTGTGCTTTGAGTTCACTTGAAACCCAGGCGCACAAGCTCTGTGTCACTAGCAATGACATATGAGTTGGTTCATTTTGTTTCCTGCCACAGAAGGCCAATTCTGCAAGAACAGGTGTAGTTTCTTGAATGCCATAAGGTTAGTGTAGAAACAGGTTCTCCTATCCCCCACACAAAACCACAAACGTGCTGTACACAAAACCACAAATGTGCTGTACACAAAACAAGTTTTTAATTAATGTAATGATATGAATTTAAGTCTTGATGTCAAAATTTCAGGGTCCTTGGAAAAGGGAGCTTCAAGTATCTAAGCAACACGTGATGTTCAACTATTTAGTGAAATTAGAACCTAGGTCTGGAGCATGGAAGGTAATAATTATTTTAGGGTGGAATTTCTCAGCTTTTATAGATCTCTGTCCTACTGGTAAATTTGTGTGTGTCGGGGGAGGGGGGATGACAGGAGAAACATATGTTGTTTACCACTTCCCCTGCAATTCTTTGCATTTATATCTGATCTGCATTTACACCTGCCTTATAACAGAAACATACACAAGCCTTGCTTCTTTCCCACTTTACAAATATATCTGCCTCTACCTTCATTCTTCAGGCTAAACATTGACAGAAATAAGACAATTAAAAATGTTCAGACACACCTAGCGCACATTTATGATGCACTTCAGCCATCTAACAGATATGAGTTTACTACGTGCCAGGTGAGTGGATTTAAAAAAGAGTCTTGGCCCGGCGCGGTGGCTCACGCCTATAATCCCAGCACTTTGGGAGGCCGAGGTGGGCGGATCACAAGGTCAAGAAATCAAGGCCATCCTGGCCAACATGGTGAAACCCCCCCATCTCTACTAAAAATACAAAAATTAGCCGGGCGTGGTGGCACGCGCCTGTGGTCCCAGCTACTCGGGAGGGCGAGGCGGAAGAATCACTTGAACCCAGGAGGCGGAGGTGCAGTGAGTCGGGATTGCGCCACTGCACTCCAGCCTGGCTACAGAGCAAGACTCTGTCTCAAAAAAAAAAAAAAAAAAAAGAGAGTCTTCCAGGGACCCACAGATCAACAGTAGCTGCCAAGAGTATGTCTTGACCTGCATAACTCATAATCCATTCAAACTTAAAGTACAGTTACAGGTTAGGGGAAAAAGACCACGGAATGAAGTATGACCTCATCACTGACCACCTGGATTGTAGCTAGTTTTCATGCTATCAAAGAACCCTTTCCTTTTCCATCTGTCCGGCATTCAACTGCGAGATTCAGAATTCCACTTTCAAGGAGTCTCTGTCTACGAAAGAAGCTTCAAAGCCTCCCCACTACTTAACACCTCTAGTTAAAACTCTTCTTCAACTTGAATCTTCTATGGGTAGCTCCACCTGATCAACTTTGTAGCTTGTTGGTATGGCTCCCTTCTGCCAATCCCCTTCGGACGTGCAGAACCCAAATCTAATTTAACTATCTGTTCTCTAATAAACTCCTCAGGCAGCCCTCGTTCTAAGCAGTCTTAAAAAATTGTTTCCTCTATCGTCACAGATCCATTAGTTTTCAGGACATTCTTTCTGAACTCAGCATAAGCCTTCCTCTTAACAAATGGCAGGTGTAGCCCAGTTATTTTTAATGCTACCATCCCAAACAGATGTTTATCTTCCCAGTCACCCCTGAGTGAAATCAGAGGGAGTCGCGTGCAGTTTGGGAAAGGGAATCCCAACATCGCATCTCGTGAGAAAGGGTTTGGTGTGGTTGCAACTATGGAGAGGAAAAATAAAGGAAACAGGAAAAGTGAAGGTCTGTGCTCCGTATACTTTCAGTCTTTTCTTTAGCAGGAGTAGGGAAGGTAGGGAGGAGCCCCAAGAAATGAATTATTGAGGAAGGACAGAAAAAAACACATTGCTCCCTAAGTAGGAAACAGGGGCTGGGGGCCCTAGATAAGCGAAGGAACCGTCATCCTTAGAAGAGGGGGACAGGTTACAACGTGAAACCGAGTCTGGGAGTTGGAAGACGAAGGGTGGAGAGGCTACAGAGATCCGGGCATCCGATCAAGAGGGTACCCGACGCGTCCTGCAGGTGACTGGCGGATAACCGGAGACTGAGTGGCTAAGAGGGACGGCGTCGGCGCCTAAGAGGGCTCTGGGAAGAGCGTTTATGGGACATCGCTTCTAAAGGGGCGCGGGGGCGGGGAGGAGCTTTTGGGTGGGATCGTGTACCAAAAGGAGAAGCGACTCTCAGACCAGTGCTCTTCTTGAGCGGAAATCCCGGGGAAGCGGAAAACGTTAAAGTGTTGAGGCACCAGAATGTCCCAGCCCTAGCCCGGCTTCCCTACTGACTCACCGCGTCTTCTCCAAACGCCACCGCTCCAGCTGCAGCTACCGGCCGGCGCAGCCGCACTGAGCGCGCACCGACCCACGTGACTCGCCCAGGCTCCACCCCGCACGTGACCCGCAGAGCCCACCCACTCCCGCCTCCCTCTCGTATCCCTTCTCCGCGTGGTCTTGGCTCGCCCCGCCCTTCCTAGCAAGATGGCGGCTCCCAGGTGGAGCGTGTTGGGCTTCTGGATCCGGGGAAACAGCCAGGGTTTAGGGAGTGTCTTAATTCTCATCTCAAAGCCATTTTGTTCCGCTGCCGCTGCCTCTGAGCCCTTAAATGCTCAGAGATTAGCGGAGAAGCTCAAAGCCCAGAAACAGGAACAAGTCACAAAGAAGGAGCCGGTGAGTGCGTAAAGACCACAACTCCCAAAAGGCAGTGCGCTCATTGGTTTCCCAGACGGGGAGTAGGTAGAAGGGTCCTCTGACTGCGTGTAAGTCAATACCCTGGACGCAAGGTGGGAGAGTCGGGAGAAGGCGAAGGGGAGGGGTCAGTAAGGGTACGGTGTTTTCTCTTGAGCTGGGTCTTTGGTTACTGTCAGGCTCGGTCCTAACCACTGCGTGGCTACGCAGGTTAGTCAGACGCGTACCCCTGCTCTCAAGTTGCTCGAGGAAGGCGCGGGTCTGATGCAAAGATAGTCACTCCCTACTTAGATTCTCACCCAGACCTTTATGGAAAGTCTTCTTCCCGCTTCCGCACCAGGCATTCCCCACCGCTCCTTTCTCCCTAGGTGTCCACAAATCCTGTTCAGCGGAGAGTGCAAGAATTAGTGCGGTACACACAGCAGCTACAGCGAGTCCACCCTAACGTGCTTGCTAAGGCACTAACCCGAGGAATTCTCCACCAGGACAAGAACCTTGTGGTCATCAATAAGCCCTACGGTCTCCCTGTGCATGGTAAGGATCACGTGGGAAAGGGGAAGCTGCTTTCTGCTACAATCGAGGGAAACTGACACGTTACTTGTGGTGCACTCTGAAGCCTTGCATTCAAATTAATTAAACCTTTGTAGACTACCGTCCAATATAAGGAACCACCCAGGACACAGAAATAAATAAGAGTCCTCACTTTCCAAACATCTGACAATAAACAGCAATTCGTGGAATATGCTGTGTGCAGACTACAGGGACCACTGTAGAGATATGCAAAGGCTGTGTGTTTCTAGACTAAAGGTTATCTTCCATCAACACTGGGAATGAGAAAATAATACATAAGAAATAAGGCTGTGTGTGTGTGTGTGTGTGTTTGTGTGTGTGCACGTTTGTTTGTTTTGGAGTATACATAACGTACAACCCTAGAGTGACTGGAATTTAGTGTATACTCAAATGTTTCAACAAATGTCGAGTGTAGTTGTCAGGAACAGCTGAGGTGAGTCAGGAAAGATTGATTTAAAAAATGCTTTTGTGAAATAATTTTGCAGAGGGAGAAGGCCCATTTTAGTTAGAAGAAGGTAATGCTTTTTGGGGTGATACGGAGATAGTCATTCATAAAGACAAGGAATTGAATCAGACATTGCCCAGTGTTTCTGTAATTTTTTCTTGCTTGATTTTTACAACAGCCTTTTGCCTTCCCATTCCCCAAAGAAGTTGTTTTCCAGATATTTACATTTTATAACAAGAAAGCAAAGTTGGAAAGAGAAGTAATGTTTCCAAGGTCGAATGGCTAGTAAGAAGAGTAGAGTAGAACCCCAGGAATGTCTAACCCCAAAGCCCATCATCTTAATCACTCTTATTTAATGCTTCTCAAGGGCCTCATGGTCTTGCAAAAGATGTCTGAGAAGAAAGCCACATGCTCTAGAACGGTGCTTCTCAAACTTTAATATGCTTATGAATCACTTGGGCAGGTTGTAAAATGCAGATTCTGATTGAGTAGTCTAGGTTGGGAGCTGGATATTCATTTCTAATTAGCTCCCTGGACATGCCATTGTTGCTAGTCTCTGGACCACCCTTCAGTAGTAAAGCTCTAGAAAATATTAACAGTTTATCCATTAAGGGCTTTTCTTCCCAGTAATTCTTTGGTAAGATCTTTTTCTGGCCACTCAAACCTCTGGCTTTCTCCTTCTTAGGTGGCCCTGGGGTCCAGCTCTGCATCAGTGATGTACTACCTATCCTGGCAAAGATGCTTCATGGCCACAAGGCAGAGCCCTTGCACCTGTGCCACCGGCTGGACAAGGAAACCACAGGCGTAATGGTGTTGGCTTGGGACAAGGACATGGCACATCAAGTCCAAGAGTTGTTTAGAACCCGTCAGGTGGTGAAGAAGTACTGGTATGAGGCCTGCTGATGGCAGGTGGTATAAGTGGAGGCATTTCTTTCCTCTATTTATTCATTAAAGAGCAGAAACTCCCATTAATAGAAGGCAGTGCTCTAGGACCTGTGAGATTATGAAAAGTATGTGAAACAGCTTTGGTGCTTAGAATAGTAAGCCTGATAGAACAATGGTTCTTAATTCTGGTGTACATCAAAACTATCAAAAATTGATTATACAAGCATGGGCTGGGCATGGCGGCTTATGCCTATAATCACAGCACTTTGAGAGGCAGAGGTAGGAGGATCGCTTTAGGCCAGGAATTGGAGATCAGCCTGGGCATCATAGTGACAGCTTTTCTCTATAAAAAGTAAAAACTTAGCCCAGTATAGTAGCATATACCTGTAGTCCCAGCCACTTGGGAGGCTGAGGAGGGAGGATCATTTGAGCCCAGGAGTTTGAGGTTACGATGAGCTGTGATCGCACCACTGCACTCCAGCCTGGATGACAGAGTAAGACCCTGTTTCTAAAGAAAAAGTAAACAATTAATTATACAAGTAATATATGATTTTATTCCTGTGCTAAAAATAATCAAACAACAAAGATAGCGTGAAAAACTCCTGGAGAATCCACCCACTCTGGCATTCTAGTCTTTTTCCTTGAGGTAACAACCCATGTAATCAGTTTTGTTTTTATTCCTCTGGTTCTTACTCAATGCGTTTACATACATGTCTAGTGTATACAGTGTGTGTGTGTGTGTGTGTGTGTGTGTGTGTGTGTGTGTGTACATATGTACATACATATTTCTATATATATCCCACTGTAGAATTTACATTATACTTTTTTCCCCTGCTCAACTCTATGTCTTGGGGATCTTCCATGTTAGCACATAGAGGTTTACCTCAATGTTTTTAATAGAAAAAAGATAGATTAGCAAAAAGGAAATCCTCTACTCCCCATCTGTGCAGTTCCTTTCCCCAGGGACAATCGCTGTGACTGGCGTCTTGTCCAGAGTTATCCAGCATATACAAGCATATTACTGTATGGCAGTGTATTTTACACACTGTTTTGTACCCTGCAGTTTTCACTCAGGTTATATATCTTAGAGCATTTTGTGTTGTACATTTAGAGCTGTCTCCTTTTTAATTGCTCTGTGAAATAAGACTGTATGGATGGATATTTAGGTAGTTTCTCATTTTTCAGAGCCTATTGTAAAGAATATGTGAATGTATTTTTAGGGTAAATTTCTAAAAATTGAATCGCTGGGCTGAATGGTGTGTATATTTAAAATTTTAATAGTACTCACATTGTTCTCCACAAAGGTTTTATCAGTTTACATTCCCACCAGCAGTGGTGAGTACCCACCTCCCCTTATCAGCCAAAGCATTTTTAAAGGGTTTGCCACTGTGATAAGTTTAAAAAAAAAAAAAAAAGATATTTTCTATTTCCTTGTATAATAGTGATGTTGCTTATCAATTTACATGTTTATTGGCTATTTGAGTTTCCCTTTTGGGGAATAGACTATTTCTTTTGCCTATTTTTCTGTTTGGCTGTTTATTTTCTTTTCTTTTCTTTTTTTTTTTTTTTTAAGACTGCTTCCAGCCTTTTTTTTTTTCTTTTTTCTTTTTTTTTTTTGAGATGGAGTTTCACTCTGTCACCCAGGCTGGTGGGCAGTGGCACAATCTCAGCTTACTGCAACCTCCTCCTGGGTTCAAATGATTCTCATGTTTCAGCCTCCTGATTAGTTGGGATTACAGGTGCATGCCACCATGCCAAGCCAATTTTTGTATCTTTATTGGCCAGGCTGGTTTTGAACCCCTGACCTAAAGTCATCTGCCCACCTCAGCCTCCCAAAGTGCTAGGATTATAGGCATGAGCCACCATGCCTGGCCTGGGTTATTATTTTCTATTTGATTTGTAAGTAGTCATTTATATTTTGAATGTTAGTCCTTTTTTATATTACAGATTTTGCAGATACTTTGTGATCTGAAGAGCCTTTTAAAAGTCTCTACGCTTGAGACCTACCTACAGAGGTTCTCGTTCATAAGTCTGGTGGTTGTAGGGATTGGCACCTGTCTTTTAAAATTTGATGTACAATCAGATTTAAGAACAACTATAATGAGAGATTATGGAGAATGGAGAAATTTAGGACAGCAGCTAAGACCTCAGAAAGATTTGTGTTCAATCTCAGCAGTGTCATTTACCAACTATGGAGCCTTGGGCAAGTTATTAAACTTCCGTAAGCTTTGTTTTCTTCATATGAAAAATGGAAATAATAGGATTTATGACATAGTTAAATGAGATTGATTTACGTGAAATATTTAACACAGTACGTAGTTCATAGTAAAGTTGAAAAAATAAAAAAAGAGTATTATGATATCTAGTCAAGCAATCAAAATATTAAGACTACAAAATACATGTTATGTTATTTGTGAAAATTGTACATCAAGGTTCAAAATTGGTAACCATTCTCAGTATCAGGTTCATGGAGGAATTGAAATCGATCAACTGGGTCTTAATGAATAGGATTTGATAGGGAAGGTGGAAATATGTTCTACATCATGGAGTGGCATGCACAAAGGCAGAGGACTTGCATGCTGTTTGGAGTGGACGATGGTGGGGGATGACGCTGGAAAGGTGGGCTGCAGCCCAGTTAATGACAGTCGTAAATACTGGATACAGGAAGTAGAAGTTGGAATTAGTGGAATTAGAACATAGTAGGCAACTGATTAACATTTGCTAACTTTATTATTATAGTTATTTGTTTGAATTTTTTTTCTTTTTTTTTTTGAGACAGCATCTTGTTATACGGCCCAGGCTGGAGTGCGGTGGCCATTCACAAGTGTGATCATAGCCCACTGCAGCCTCAAATTTCTGGCCTCAAGCAGTCCTCCTGCCTTAGTCTCCCAAGTAGCTGGGCCTGCACGTTCCTGCCACCAAGTCTGGCTTATTTGTTTGAATCTTCTTACTAAACTCTGAGTTCCTGGAGAGCGGGGACTTTTGTCCTGTTTCTCTATATAGAGCTAATACCTACCCAAATCAGTGCTTCACCCATTCAGTGAATATTTACTGATTGAGCATTCTTGAATTGTAGTGTCATATCGTTAGGAAGGGTAGTCTTATCACAGAGGATCTATGAAATCTGTAAAATACGATAAAATGTACCAGGCAGTAGCTCAGACTTCCACCAACCTGAAGTGGAGTGTCTACATCGTGAAACGGTGTGTCTCAGTGGGATTGTGACCCCTTGGTTAGTGATTATACAACAGGCTACCAGGTACCCAGATGGACTCTTCCATCATTGACCTGAAAGAGGAATAAATTTACAGACAGATTAAACAGCCTTCTACTTGTCTGTGAGATCACAAGAGGGAGAACACCAACACAAGTGATTTAGAATGAGTCACTGAGCTGTGGTTGTGGTTCCTATGACTTTCTTGCCCCAGTCCCCAGGGTTGGAGTGCAGTGGCATGATCTTGGCTCACTGTAACCTCCACCTCCTGGGTTAAAGCAATTCTTGTGCCTCAGCTTTCTAAGTAGCTGGGATTACAGGCATAAACCATCACACCTGGCTAATTTTTTTTTTTTTTGTATTTTTAGTAGAGCTGGGGTTTCACTATGTTGGCCAGGCTGATCTCTAACTCCTGACCTCAAGTGATCCACCTGCCTCGGCCTTCCAAAGTACTGGGTTTACAGATGAGAGCCACTGCACCCGGCCCCTGTAACTTCTTTGGGTACCGTTTCCTCCTGTTTTACCTGTGTGACAAATAAGCCAGGAACAGTTCTCTGAATTTTTTATTAGGTTCATTTATCCAATTATTCATTTGTTCGTTTAACATGCGGTCAGACTCTACAATCTTTTATCATTTGAAAAAGAAAAACAGAATATAAAACCATGTTATCACAATTTTAACTGTACATATCCATTTTTAAAGGCTAGAAAGACCATGTTATTATGGGTTTTTTTTCCCCAAATATTCTTTAGTTAGCATGTATGACTTTAGTAGTAAAAAAGATAAGCTTGTAAAATGTATCAGCTCTCAGGCCAAGCATTACACCGAGAGAATCTTGCTGGCCCCTTCGACCATAAGAAATCACACATTAGTGCAGAAGGTCCAACGTGAAATCCTCCAAGCAGGCAAATCTAGGAACTCCTTTCTGGCTTGGTTGGCTAAAGCAGTGATCTGTGTCACCCCCAGGGCCATCACTGTGCGCGTCCCCACGCCCTCAGCAGGAGTCGTGGACATCCCCATCATGGAGAAGGAGGCCCAAGGCCAGCAGCAACACCACAAGGTGAGCGAGCAGCCTTTCTGAGGCATGGGGGTTGGCGCTCTTCCTTGGGAATCATATGTTGATTTCTTTGGCTTCAGATGACATTGTCTCCGAGCTACCGCATGGAAGATGGGAAAATGGTGAAAATGCGGAGCAGCCGGAACGCACAAGTTGCTGTAACTCAGTACCAGGTGCTCAGCAGCACTCTCTCCTCCGCCCTCATGGAGCTCCATCCCATCACTGGTGAGGGTGTCACTTTTCCACAGTGCGATCACAAAACGCTGTGCCACCAGGTTTTGTCCAGGGCCTCGTTCTGAGCAGCTAGTATTGTGGCTGACTTGTGCGAGAATGTGCTTCTGGTGCTAATCTGAGGCTGGGGGGCTCCCATAGGGATGGTTGTGGCTCACAAAAGAATACAAACAGTTTGAATACCTCTATTTAAAACTGTGCAGAGTGGTTCCTCAAAATGATTCTGCATAGAATTACCAGAAGATCCAGCAGTTCCACTTCTGGGTATATACCCAAAATAATCACATATTTGCACACATACTCATAGCAGCATTATTCACAGTACCAAAAGGTGAAGATAATCCCAGTGACCATTGGTGGGTGAATGGAGAAACAAAATGTTGCATATACATACAGTAGAATATTATTTTCAGCTTTAAAAGAACTAAAAAAAGGGAAATTCTGACATACGCAACAACGTGGAAGCACCTTGAAAACATTATGCTAAGTGAAATAAGCCAGGCACAAAAGGGCAAATGCTACGTGACTCCACTCATGTGAGGTACGTAGAAGAGTCAGGTGTATAGAAACAGAAAGTAGATGGTGGTTACCAAAATCTTAGGGTAGGATAAAGGAGGGAAGATGAATGGGGAATTGTTTAATGAGTCTAGAGTTTCAGTTTGGGAAGATGAGAAAGTTCTAGGTGGTGAATTGCAAAAACAGTGTGAATACACCTAATGCCACTGACTTAGCATTTACTATAATGCCAGTGGTTAAAACAGGAAATTTTATGTATATTTTGCTACAATTAAAATAACATGCAAATCGATACTACTTGTCATTATGTAGTAAAATTACTAAAAAGTTGGGGTAATGGTAGACACCAGGTTCATGATAATGGTTATCTATGGTGGAAAGAGGGAATTGTGGTAGGGAGGGGTACTTAGAGTATTTACAATGTTTACTTCCTAAGCTGTGTGGTACTACATAGCTTATAGTTTGTTATATTATTCTTTATACTTTATTATAGTTGGGGCTTGGCCAATTTACTGCACTTCGATTTAATATGATTTGAAGCAGTTGCCAATACTGGTATTGTTTCTGTAGCTCCTCACAAGTTGTCTTTCCCTCTCTCTTTTAAGGAGTAAAACATCAGCTTCGAGTTCACTTGTCGTTTGGATTGGATTGTCCAGTCCTTGGGGATCACAAGTACTCAGACTGGAACAGGCTGGCCCCTCAGGTAATACTAATTTGACACAATATGCAACAGATATGGGAGAGAACTTAGGCCTTCCTTTTCTTAAAACTCTGAAATGAGTTACAACGAAACCTATTGATTGTCTTCAGACATGGTACCAAGCCCTTTATCTTGCTTTTAGAGAAATTCAGAAGCAGTCAGTGACTGTCTTGGAACTGCAGGTTTGTTAGTGAAAACCTTACTGTTTCATTTGTTTAGTCTGATTTTGTTGGGAGGCCGTGGGCAAGGGGAGTAGTGTTTCTGAAGGCTGAGAGCAGCCTTTCTTGCTACTGCTAAAGAACCATGCAGGGCCTGGTGCGGTGGCTCACACCTGAAATCCCGGCACTTCTGGAGGCCAAGGTGGGTGGATTACCTGAGGTTGGGCTTTCGAGACCAGCCTGACGAACATGGAGAAATCCTGTCTCTATTAAAAATAGAAAAAGTTAGCCGGGCGTGGTGGTGACGCATGCCTGTAATCCCAGCTACTGGGGAGGCTGAGGCAGGAGAATCACTTGAACCTGGGAGGCAGAGGTTGCTGTGAGCCGAGATCCTGCCATTATACTCCAGCCTGGGCAACCAGGGCGAAACTTCATCTCGAAAAAGAACCATCGGGAAAGGCTTTTCATCCTTAACCACAGCCCATTCTCCTGGTAGGCCAAAAAGCACTGGCTAAAACGAACATCTTTGCTGTGGTCATTTTTCCCTTACCTAGGCTCTGAGCCTTTCTTAGACATGCCCCTGAAGCAGGCTCTCCATTACTGTGCCTTCCAGGGGCTTGGTGTTGGTTCTCTGTAAGTGTAAGTCTCCTGACTTGCGTGTTCGTCAAGGGTGGCCTGTTGGCCTTGCTCTCAAGGATCTGTCCGTCCTTTGTGTAGAAGCTGTCTGTGGGCATCCTGAAGAAGTTGGGGCTGGAACAGTCGAAGGCCCGCTACATCCCCCTTCACCTGCATGCCCGGCAGCTGATCCTGCCTGCCCTGGGGTCCAGGAAGGAGGAACTTAACTTGGTCTGCAAACTTCCTCACTTCTTTGTACGTTCCCTACGCCGCCTGGGTTTAGAGATGCCAAATCAGGATCAAAGTAAGAACAACGAAGCACGGTGAAGACCATGGGAGCACCCCGGCATCTGGGAGCACAGTGAAGACCGTGGGAGCACCCTGGCATCTGGGAGCACATATTGGCCCCTGATCTGTTCTTTGTTTACGGGACTCTCCTAACTTCTCACTTGGAACAGACTCCAGAAGAGCCAGGTGGGATAAGGAGGGCTTTTAATGGAGAACAAAGCCTATTCACTGATAGTTTAGCTACACTGTGGAAAGCCTCCCTGCCACAGGCTCTCATTGCCAATATGAAACAGCCCAGGGCGAGGCAAATTGGGGCAGTGACTGGAAAGGAAAACTAAATGACAGACTCTAGGGTCAGAAACTGTTTTATCCAGCAGTGAAGCACTGGAGCTCTCCGGAAGGTTCCCATGGTTGGAAAGAACATAATGGTTAGAAATATCACGGCATCCAGGAATTGTCCAGCTATAGCGTGGGTGCCCTACTGCACTCCGATTGTGGAACCTGTGAAAGGGTGCTGAGTGAGAGGTTGAGGTGGGGCATTTGCTAAGCAAGGAGAGCAGGTGTGAATGGCAGGCAGGTAACATGCATACATGAGGCTGGCTGGGTGTGAGGTAGTCACGGGAGCGGCACACTGTCTAACAGTTGTTAGCTCCAGCTTGTTCTTGCCACGTGGGAATGGATTTTCTCATTTATTTCTTCAGAGAAGCTGTAAACCTGGATACTTATGTGAAACCTCCCAGTGTATTGCCAACTAAGTAGAATTTTTAAAGATGCTTAGGCAGCCAAGCGCGTAATACTTGCAGGTTGATTTTGGTCTACAGGCTAGCAGTTTACAATCTGTGTTTAATGAATGGCAGAGAAGTTTGAGGAAAGGTGCCTTGTTGAAAATTTAGCTGCATGTAGTATGTATCCTTTCTAGACTTGGAGATGGCTTTGGTTGGTCCATAAATGTGCAGTTCCGAGAGTGCTGCCATTAAAATAAAAAATCTCTGTTGTGGAAGCATACCTCCTGTTCTTGGGCCTCAGAAAGGAGAGGGCTGTACTGAACACCAGTAGGGATAAGTGGAAACGACCTTGGCCTCCCTGCTCCGTTGGTCCATCTAGCTCCCACCTTGTTCCTTGCAGATGAATACACCTCACACTACTTTAGGCTGACAAAGAAAGGTGGAGTGATGGCACTGTTAGGGGGTACACCCCGGCACAACCTTTATGTTCCCTCTGTGTAGATGATGCCACTTCTAACCCTTCCCTGTCTCTATGGTACCTGTTATTGTGCATAATAAATTTAACTTTGAAAGCACAGATGAGATGACTATATTTGTTTATATAAGAACTAAATATTTTTGCTGCTGTTTCTATTTCTAGTAAACCATGATAGTCAAAAAAAAAAAAAAGGAACAAGAATGTGACACTTAGGAAATATTGATAATTGACTTTATTCAGGGAAACAGATAAACAGGAATACCCACAAGAATGAAGAAAAGGCTGGGCGCAGTGGCTCATGCCTGTAATCCCAGTACTTTGAGAGACCGAGGTGGGCAGATCACTTGAGCCCAGGAGTTGAGACCAGCTTAGGCAACATGGTGAAGCCCTGTTGCTACAGAAAATACAAGAATTAGCCGGGCGGGGTGGCGCATGCATGCCTGTGGTCCCAGCTACCCAGGAGGCTGAGGCAGGAGGATCACCTGAGCCCAGGAGGTTGAGGCTGTAGTGAGCCATGATTGTGCCACTGCACTCCAGCCTGAGTGACAGAGTAAGACTCTGTCTCAAAAAAACAGGGCCAGGCACGGTGGCTCACGCCTGTAATCCCAGCACTTTGGGAGGCTGAGGCAGGCAGATCATGAAGAAATCGAGACCATCCTAGCTAACATGGTGAAGTCCCATCTTTGCTAAAAATACACACATAAAAAAAAAAAAATCAGCTGGGCGTGGTGGCACATGCCTATAGTCCCAGCTATTTGGGAGGCTGAGGCAGAATCGCTTGAACCGGGGTTGTGGAGGTTGCAGTGAGCTGAGATCGCGCCACTGCACTTCAGCCTGGCAACAGAGGGAGACTCCATCTCAAAAAAATAATAATAATAATCTTAGAAGAGCAGAATAAAAGTAGGAGCTAGGCAGGAAACATTTGGAGAAGTGACAGGTCTCTAGGATGTGAATCTAGTCTTTAATTTGGCAAACTGAATATTTACTAGGTTGAAGTTATCTGGGGATGTTCACTTATCTCAAGGAGCTCTCATTAGCTGGAAAATTAAGTTAGCTCTGTGGTTTACTAACAAGTAAGTGTGAGGCAGGACTGTGGTTCCCTCGGCGGGCACGCTGGAGCTGGACTGAGAACCTGCTGTGTCGTTCTTTCTGCCCAGCTTTGCCACAAATGCTGCTCTGCCGTTCTTTGTGAGTCTTTAGTGCTTCAGTGCTGGGTTTTGTGTTGGTTGCTGAACTGGGAGCTACAAAGCTAGTGCTGTTGACTTTTTGAGAATTCCTAAGCTGCCCTGGGATACAGGGTTACCACATTGGAGACCGGGGCAGATGTCTGCCCTGCTGCACCTTCCCAGACCTCTCTGAAGCGGATGTCAGTGGCTCCATCCCCCACAAAAGGACTGTCATCTTTCTTGTCTGACTCATCGCGGCGCGTAAGGATGAGGACAACAGCCTCAGACAACCTAGTTGATCTGCAGCTTTAAGGGTGCAGGGAGTGGGCAGGCCATGTGATTATAGTTAGGCAGAGTAAGCTGAAATGCTATTGTATGTCGATTCATCAACCATAAAAGTATGAAATTTTAAAAATGGATTTGTGTTTAAAATAACTTCGATTTGTAAATATGGAATAGCCTTTTAAAAATTAGGAGAATATTTAAGCACACTGTAAGAAACACCAAACATTAGGTCATGTCATCTGCTTGTAATTATTTGCCATCTGAGCTTGAAAGGGACCTGTGTTAAGAAGTGTGTTAGGCTGGGCATAGTGGCTCATGCCTGTAATCCCAGCACTTCGGGAGGCCGAGGCAGGAGGATCACATGAGCCCAGGAGTTCCGAGACCAGCCTGGGCAACTTGGCAAAATTTCATCTCTACAAAAAGTGCAAAAATTAGCCAGGTGTGATGGCGCACCTGTTGTCCCAGCTACTCGTGAGGCTGAGACAGGAGAATCACTTGAGCCCAGGAGGTTGAGGCTGCAGTAAGCCATGCAGGTGCCACTGCACTTCAGCCTGGGTGTCAGAGAGAGACTCTGTTTCAATACAAATTAAAAAAAAAAAAAGTGTGACATATTTGTCTGGAGTCAGATCCAGTGATGGGGGTCCCAGGGTGATCTGGTCTGGGAGCAGATGCTGCTCCAGACATGCAGAGAGGACAGGGTGTGGGAATGTGCTCATCAGATCGGGCCATTTAGCTCAGGACAGTGGTCACAGAGGTAGAACCCAACTTCTCTGAAATGGGAGTCAGGTAGGGGTGGGGGACCCATTAGTTTCCAAACCTTGTCAAATGCAAATCCATTGGGGGTTAGGGCTTCAATATATGAATTTTGAGCAGGGAAGGGAAGTGGACACAAATCAGTCCCTAACACTAATTATTTTGATATTTTTCCCGTAACTATTAAGCAGTGTAAAAACCATTCTTAACTCACAGGTCATAAAAACACACATGGCGGGCCACATTCAGCCCACTGGCTACAGTGTGGCTGTTTATATTTCTAGTAAACGATGCTTCTCAAGATAAAGGGACAGGAATGTGACAGGAAATGTTGATCTTTGACTTTAATTCAGGGAGACAGATGAAGAGGAACCTTGGTCTTGTGGGTGTTTGACGAAATCCCAGGTACCCAGGGAACCACCAGAAGGGGACCAGGTAGTAGCCTGCATGCCACAGTGTGGATGCAGCCCAGGGCCACAGATATCGGCTGGGAAGACCAGGGAGGCCCGCTGAAATCCTGGAGCATCCCACACTGCTGCACAGTTGGGCAGGCAAGGGTGAGGGATGGTGAAGTTCTTCCTTTCCTGTGTTTTCTTAGGCATAAAGAAAGGATTAACATTTTTCTCATCCTTAGTGGGATCTGGGCTGCCCGAGCAATGGGTCTTGCTAGGTAGAGTGGCTATCTTTAATCACTGACAATAATGTAAGAGGAATTTTACCCCACGTTAGTGTCTCCTGGGAAATGGGTTACACAGCAAAGGAGCTTGGAACATGCCTAAAGTGAACTTCATCTATTTTGAAATACTGATGAGAGCCAGCTGAAAGATTTGATTTAGTATTAAGTCATACACAGTAATTAGTATAAGAAAATGGGCTTTTTAAATGTCTATTTTTATCAAAGTTCTACATGCACGTGATTTAAAAAATCAAGAACTATTCTGTTCAAATGACTGGTTAAAAAAAGAAATAAGAAAAAATCAAAATGAAAAATCAGGAACTATAGGCTTGCCAAGAAAAGTAGCAGCTCCTTGGTCACGTGGGATTGTTTGCTGTGAGCTCTGGGAGGTGCTTGTGCTCAGCAGAGGGGGGAGGCCGGCTCTGCAGCGCCCCTTCTGGTGGCAGCCCTGGCTCTTCTGCTCCAGGAGGTAGCTCTGGGGTAGTCGGTTTTTTCTGTGCTAAGCGCGCCCAGCCTAAACCCACGGAGCACTTTCTCAATCCTCATATCACCCGTCTTTGTATCTGATAGCCAAATCAACCACTCTGAGCTTCTCACTCGCTTTGATACTATGAACTCTTCCTGCATCTCCTTATCTGACCTCCTTCCAGGCTCCTTGAAGGGCTCCAGCGTGGTGCTCCCAGAGCTCCATCTTGGCATCCTGCCCCTCTCCCAGAGGGAGAGATGGGCCAGCTTGAGAAGCCTCTGCCTGTGTGCTGATGACTTGCAAGTCTGTCTCTGACCTTGATCTCCCCCTCGAGCTGGCCATCTTCACATCTATCTGCCTGAGGTCGTTTCCCCTTGGGAGCTCCCTCTCTAGGCCTGTTGCTCCTGTCCTCTTACCTGCCTTAGTTTAGATGGCATCACCAGAGACCTGGGAATCACCCTTGACTCCTTCCTTGCACCAGTCCCCAAATCCACTTAGCCACTAATTCTTTGCCAGTTCCCTTTAAAACCCTTCTCTTAAAATGCACTTCCCTCTTTAATTCTAATCTCTCTTGAGATCCAATTTCACCATCCCCACACTTCAGCTGTGACGGGATAGGTGGGAGGGCATAGTGGGTTAGAAATAGGATTATAGGCAATCTGCTAGTTCCCACCAGAAACCAAACTCAGAAGGGAGTGTTGAGACTGTCCCCAGTTTCCTGGGGACAGGACAGTGTGTGGGGGGATATCTATTTTAACAGGGACAGGCAAATAGAACAGCCTCCTGCCATATTTTCTAAGTCTACTGTCCTTGGCTCTCTGGACTGCTTTTAGCCAGAGTGCCTGGTAGGATATACAGAAACATGGCCTTCTGCTTGTTCTTGTGCAAAGCATGCTATGTGGATGCAGACAGCTTTCTCCCAGTGGGGTGCAAAGTCTGCTGGCTCAGGGCAATGTAATTGGAACACCAGCTGCCCAGTGTTAGGCCAAATGTCACAAGTTAATGGCACATTCCATGGGACATGCCTCACTTCAGACACCAGCTGCAAGCTCTGGGGTTTCCCAGCCACCTGTACTTCTAACCAACTAGCTACAAATGCAAGAGTGCTCACAAACCCCTCAGGTTTGATCATTTGCTAGAATGACTCCCAGGACTCAGCAAAGTGCTATCATTCCTATTACGGTTTTGCTGTAGCAAGAAAATGATACAAATCAAGACTAGCTAAAAGAAGAGATGCATGGGCAAGGTCTGGGAGAATCTCCAACATGAAGCTGCCACGTCCTCTGCCCATAGAGCCTGATCATGTCACCACCCCAACACATGGATATGCTTCACCAACCAGGAATGTCACTTAAGCCTTCATGTCCAGAGTTTTTATTGGGGTTTCATTATTGGCTACATTGTGGAACTCAGTCCTACCGGGCTCAAAGTACCAACCCTCTAATCACATGGTTGGTCTTTTTGCATCACCAGCCCCTGTCCTGAATCTAAGGCCCCACCGTGATTCTTCATATTAGCATAAACTATTAGGGCTCATCATGAATAACAGATGTTCCCATCACTTGGGAAATTCCAAGAATTTAGGTTCTCTCTCCCAGGAACCAAGGATGAAAGCAAGGCAAATTATTACACAACACTGAGTTTTCCTCTCCATTCCCCACTTCCTGTTAGGGATCCCTTCAGCTTGCTGTGCCCCCAGTGAGCAGCCACCCTCAGTGGCTGTCTGCATAGATGCCCCTATTGGCTGCAGCCT